TAGTCTCCGGGATGGCTAGTAATTATCTGCCCACTAGAAAGAAGAGGAGACTTGGCACACACCTATGAAATCAGTCAGCATTTAGGGAACAAACGCTGCCTGGAAAGCCCTGATCCACAGTGTGGTGAGTTCATCCGGAAACTGCAGCAAGCTGGCATCAGAGCCAATGACTTGATTCATTCAATCAACAAACATTTACTGAGAAACAAATGCAGAGGGCGAGATCCGCGCCAGATGCTGAAAAGAACACCCATGTGGACCAGAAATCAACCTCACTAAAGGTGGAAAAATAGAAAAAGAGTTAAAATCATTGTGGTGTAAACAGGATACTCTGCAGCCATTTAAAACCCTGTTTGAGAAGTCTATTTAATGCTAAGGGAAAATTCCAAGATACAAAATCAAGTTTGAAAAAAATAAAAGCAGGTTGTGAAATATAACTGGGTCAAACTCAGAGTGAACACACTCAGTAACCTCCCTCTTCTGCTCCTAAGACATAGAATTTATAGATAAACTTTTAGATATTTTAAAATTTACAAAGTACTGCTTGGAAATAAGAAAAGGGAATCACGGATCAAAAATAGAGAGGACTCCCTAAAAATAAAGGAGTCAGAAGATGAGACTCCATAATTCCCAGTAGGAATCAAAGCCACACGGTCCATGGGGGGAAGGGTCCAATAGGAGCCAGGGGAGCAGAGATCCCAACATCCACCCAGCAGATAAGGGGCAGAACTGGACCCAGAACGATGCTGCTAGCTGAGAATGGGTCTGGAACATCTGCACCATCACCACGAGTCATGGCCAAAAATGGATGCCCCTGTCTGTGTCAAGGAGCCAAAATGAAGTCACCTATATGAGAGTAGGACCCAAGCCTGCACCATAGGGTATAAAGAACAGAAAGAGAGCCCTGAGCTGAGCTGTTGACATGAGCTCTGGTTTGAAAGCACACACCCTTACAGATGGAGGGCAGAATAAATCATAAAATTGCCTTGAAAATAAGTTCACAAACAAAAATTAGAGAACATATGAGGACATCCAATGATCAGACTCTACAGAATAGAAGAATTCATACCTGAAGAAACAAAGATGCTTGAGCAATCAGAGAAGGAGTTTATAATAAGTATTTTTTAAAATTCTCAAAGGGACAGAGGAGGAATTTACATCCACAAAGTGAGAAGAGTTTTTTCATAAAACAGAAAAAAAGCAGGCAGGTATGAAAATGGACCAATTATTTATCCTGGAAATAAAGTGAACCATGGTTGAAATTAAAAACTCAACAGATAGGCGAAATAATAGACCAGACACAAATGAAAAGAGCTGGTTAACTGGAGTACAGATTTGAGGAAACCTTCTCAAATATAGCACAGCGAGACAGAGAACTGAAAAAAAATGTTTAAGTTAAGATACATGGAGAACTGATTGAGAAAGAACATATGGAGAGAAAAGAGATAATGTTGGAGAGGAAACATCCAACAGATAATTGCTGATATTTTTCTAGAATTAAAGAAAAACCTCGATCTTCTGACTAGGAAAGCCCACAGAGTGCAAAGTACAATAAATAAAACTATATACACAGTATAATCCTGAACTTATAACTAAATAAATAGAGCTTAGAAGGAAATAGACCCACGTGTCAACAGTGGTTACTCTCGGCAATAGGATTGAGAGGGAGATTTTTATTTTCTTCTTTAAACTTTAATGTACTTTCTAAGTGCTCTACAATGAAAAAAACATTATTTTATAAACTGTTTGTGGAGAAGGACTATTCATTATTTCAAATACACATATACACATAAACACACTTTTTTTAAAAAATCCATCCTCCAGGAACTTACATTCAGTAGAGAAGATGAGGTATGTATAGAAATAACATATAAAGCAGTAACCCACCTGGAGAGATCTAAGTAAAAGTTCAGCCTGGCCTTTTCCCCCATGGACCAGTTAGGAATAAGGGGGAAAAGGGAGGAGGAGGTGAGGACACTGAGCAGGAACGTAAATGTCTGGTGCACATGCTGGATTTACTAGGGGCTGTTACTGCAACCAGGGTGTATTTCATTTGGATGGGATCAAAATGGCCAAACAAGACAAAACTAGAACTTCATCTACATCAAGCACTATTTTCACTTTAAATTAATTATATTGCAAGACCACCCACTGATAGAAGCAAAAATTTACATCTCCATTGTAAATTAAATTAACACCACAAAACTCTGCCACTTAACACATTTCAATTATTACCAAGCTTTACTCTTTTCTGTCAAGGGTCAAGTAGATTGAGAGAAAGGTAAAAATTGGGGGAAGAGTGTTCAATTTAACTGATAATCAAATTAACTACCATTCTCATCCACAGGGGCACGATCACTGTGAAGTGAAAACAACACAGGTATGTTCTGGCCTTTACCAAATGAACACCACCTTAGAGGGAGACAGAGAGGCCTTGTCAGTCTGGGGAGATTCAGACTCTGTGGCCACACACCATTGGTTCATCCAACCAAGGTGGAGTTTTAGGCAACATCCCATGACAGCTTCTTCAGAGCCAAACCAACTATACTCAGCGTTCAGCTCCAAAAGAAAACAGGTGGCAAAGACACAAGCCAACTGGATGTGCTACTAATGGAAAGAAGGGCTGTTCACATCTCAGACAGTCTCTTTCCTTTTTTAACACATCCAGGTTTCTCAAAATACCACCCTTTAACCCAACTCTTCTCAACATCACCTGCACATCCCACACATGGGGCCCAATATATACCCTTCCACATATAGACTTCCACCCATACCCCCTGGACTTCTCAAAACTCTCTTTCTAATACCCCTTCAAGGGAGGAGCAGCTGCTGGTCTAGTAGGTCAGAGCCTGACATTCAGAGTGGGCAGGGCCACCGCAGATCACGGGGGTGCTCAACTATGAGCCCCCTCTCTGTTCCTGCTTCTTTGCCTACAGTTGGATGGGTAAGTCAGGTAAGAGGCTGAGCCACACACCTGCCAGCTCAGACCTCCCAGCCTAAGCCTCAAACACCTTCTCCAAGTCAGCTTTTACCAGATTTCTCCCTTGATTATGCTGGGCCCTAGTCAATTCAGAAATCTCACTCTCAATATGGCCACTGCTTTTTGTGTGTTGCTTCTTCGGTCAAAACTTCAGAAGGGAGGAGGGATCGGTGGTAATATTTAGATCCCAAAATCGCACTTCCAACTCCTGCTGGAAACCACTGTTCTTCTTCTTCATGCCTTCATCAGAAGGCTGGTCACTCCATATGCACAAGCCCTCCAGGCTCTGAATCTCTGCACCTCTCCATGGCTCAGTACCTCCCAAAAAATGAGATTAAATCCTTGACCCTCCTGAAGAAGGGATGACAAAATTAAAGGGTAGTCTTCATGTGGTGGAATGTGAGATCACAGATTGGGACCGAAAAACCAGAGATCTAGTTCCACCGCCCACCATGTGGTCTTGGCTAAGTCTTTAACTGCCATATGCCTCAGTCACTTCATCTGAAAGTTATAGGATGCTCTAATAAACTCTAAGGCCCTTTCCAGTTCCAAAATGGCCTGTACATTGGTGGCAGGACACAGCTGTTCCCTACTTTTTTCCTCCCAGAAAGGAGCCCCCAGAAACTGAGGGATGGCTGGGAAAATGCTCAGCCACACATAGGAATTCTGCTAGGCTGCAAAGCATTTTAAATGAATGTTTAATAAGATACTGCATCAGTTGTGTACTTCGGCTGAATGTGCTGCAGCCCTGGAGACCTGAAAGAATTAATACAGTTCCCAAAGGAGCTGGTGGGAATTGCTGAGGCAGAAGCAGAATCTGATTTGATAAATATAAAAGTGCTTTGAGAGCGTCAGAAGGAAAGTGCTGTGACAAATGTCTGCCCGCTCCATTAGGATGTCTCCTGCTATCTAAGGAACATGCTCCAGGAAGGTCTCAGGGCTGGGGACCACGGCACACAAGTACACTCACCCTTTCCTCCCCTTTTTGACCCCCCAGTCCTTTCCTGGGGCTTAGACAGAGGTACAGTGCACCCACAACTCCAATCCTCCCCTTTTTTCTCATTCCGCCCTTTGCTTCTCCCTTGCGACCCTCTTCCATCTTTCCACTTCTGCACAATTCTCAAACCAGGCCCTCATAGCATCTCACTCAAATCTTCAAGTCTGTCTCCCCTCTCCTCCAAATCGACACTCTCAGCTGGTCCACAGAAAGACCCTTCATCATTCTAAGCCAAGAGATTTGAAAACGCCTTTCTTTATTCTGACGCTCTCCGACTTCAGTACCAAAACCCATCCTTGGGAGCCAACCCCACCATCTGAGGGTCTTGGAGCCCCTGTCAGCCCCACCCAAGGAGCATGTAGAAACATGCTAGGCCCTCCATGCTCTGGGTCTGCAGTGTTCTCCTCTCCATGCACACCCACTCCCCTCAGGAACACTCCTGTGTGCCTCTAGCCCAGGACATCTCAAATGTTCTACCCCACTTCCCCGAATTGCAGAGTCTGCTTAAGCATGACATTTCTCTGCCCTTTTGCACTTTAGCTAAAAAATTTTGCATTTTATGGAATTTTATTTTATTCCATAACATACCCACATTTAATCTTTTTTGAAATAGTTTTAGCCGCTTACCACAAGAGGGGAAAAAATGAACATTTTCCACAAAACGATCAGGCAAAATTGATATTACAGAAATACGAGCCATATTGTTTCAAGCGCCCCCAGGCTCGCCTCTGTGCACTACTTGGAAATCTCCAAGCATTCCACTACCCCATCATATTTCTGCGTTTTCCCAGTTCTTCCTGGCACACCCAAGGTGACTTTGTGTACCCCACTTTTAGAACCAAGACGAAAATCATTTCCATTCATTTCCAGGTTGGAGAAGCAGGACCTGGTTCTCACCAGGGCCAGTGGCCACGACCCCCTTTCAGATCAAGACGGATGCCAGGGGCTCCCGAAGACCAAGGGTGTCCACCATAAGATTGGCGCTCTCCCGGGTCCTGGCAGCCCATCACCTCCCGGCCTTACCTTGTCAGCCATGATCATAGACGCGCCCCCGTGGATGCCCAGGATGGGGATGAAAGTCTGTGAGGAGATAAAATCCAGCATCTGGGCCACAGCCTCCTGGTCGGTGTCGTCCCCAAACACGAGGCCGTGGATGCGCGCCCCGGACATGAGGTCGCACACGTGCGTGATGAGGCTCTTGGGGTCGGTGCGGTTCATCAGCAGCGCTACCACGTTCACATCCAGGGGCCGCCCCGCCGCCTGCTCGGGGCCCCACAGGTTTCGCAGCTCGCGCTCCGTCACGTCGTGGCTGTGGCCCAGCAGCACTGCGATGTTCAGCGCCGGGGGACCCTTTTCCGCCGCCGCGCCCTGCGCCGGACCGCGCCAGACCAGAAGGGCCGGCAGCACCAGCAGGGTCCAATAGCCCAGTCTGCCCATAGTCGCCACTTACGGTCCCTGCAAGGTGGAGAGGGAGAGTCAGGGCCGCGGTGAGCGAGCGTTCTAGACGAAAGAGATTACCGACCCCGCCTCTTGATTTAGGAGCCAAGTATGGAGCCCAACCCCAGAGCGAGCTGCAGGCGTCACTGACTCCATTCCCCGACTCCGACGCCATCCACATCCCTTGACCCATCTCCAACTCTATCCACAACTCCAATTTGAGCTAATTCTCCATCCCCGTCCCCAAATGCATCTTCGCATCCAGCCTCCTTCTCATGCCCTATCTCCAGCCCCTTCTCCATGCCCGACTCTGCCCGCGTCTCCCACCGCATCCCCCAAGTTAGCTGCAGACCGCGGCCCAGGAACGTAGGCGCGCAGAGCAAACCCTCCACCCACCCCCTCCCACCCGGTCTAGTGAGAACCAAGTTACCAACCCCGCCCCCTGCTCACAAGGAGCGAACTAGCGACAAGCCCTGGCGTGCGGAGGCGGCACCAAGACTCCGCATCCCTGCTCCCGCGCTAAGCGAGTTGACTGACCCCGCCCCCCGGAAAGCCGCGGGGTGCAGCACAGACCAGGCTGCACGCTGCATCCGTTGCAGACCCCGATCCTCTTCTGCAGAGTATACCCCAAGAGCTTGGGAGTGAGGCTGCTCACTTGTGCACTCTAGGCTCCGGGGTACCTGGGGGAACTTAGGGCCCGCCCCACCTCGCGCGAAGGGGCCGTGAAGCGATTTCCATTCAACTGCAAGCGGCCCCGGGACCTGCCCCCTACTCGCACATGTGCACACACTAGCCCATACACACACACCCTCTCTCACGCGCGTCGTCAGCAATGCAGAATTCCGGAGAGGATGCGCGTCCCCCCGAGGGCCGACGCGTGGGAGCTGGCAAAAAACGTGCGTAGTGGGAAAGGTAGGCTCCCAAGAAGCTCTCCGACGGACATGAACTGTACAGCCCCATCCCAGGCTTTCCACTTCAGGTCCTGTCACCAAGTCTTAGGTGCGCGTGAGCAGTGGGCTGCACACCCTCACATGTGCGCTCGCATTTCTGCGCACAGCCGCAGGCCGCGACAACGGTGCCCACGGCCATCCGGAGTCCGCACACGTCCTCACGCGGTGTACACACACGTACCGCGCCAGGTGCACAGCCGCACGTGCCTGCAAATACCAGCACAGTCGTGCACGCGTGCACAGGAGCGCGCCCCTCGGGCCGGGCGCTGCCGGAGCCAGGCGAAGTTGGGGCTAACTCGCACCGGCCTCTGCGCTCTTCCGAGGAGCTTCGCGGAGTGCGGAGCCGCAGCGCCCCCTGGTGTTCCTCCCGCGCCTCGCTACTGGTGCTCCCTCTCCCGCTTTCTCCTCTCTCTTCCCTGATCCTTCTCCCGCTCTCCCCTCGGTGGAATCTTCCTCCTCCCCGGCCCGCCAAGCCCAGGTCTCCCGCTGGGACGTACCTGTAGCCAGAGAAGGTCGAGGATGCAGTGGGGCGCGCTGCGCGCACGAGCATCTCGGCCGCCTCAGCAGCCACCGGGTTTAGCTGGTTCCCGCATGCTGCGGCCCCCGCGCGCTCCCCTGGCTGTCCCGCGCTGTCCGCATCGCCCCCACGGGGGGCGGCTATCCCAGCCGGAGGCTCTGCAGCAGGGATCTACCGGGGCGGAGAAGAGATGGAGAGGCAGGGTCAGCCCACCGTTGGGGGGGGAGGGGGACTAGGGGCAGGCTGCAGTCTGCAGTGCTCACGGGCCCTCTGTGCGCACAGGGGGCTCGACCAGAGAGGGAGAGCTGAAGCCCCGTGCCCAAGACGCCCCCAGTGCGGATCCTCAGACTCCGTGGCCGATATGGAGAGCTCCGCTCCGGGGCGCCCAGGAGAACCGGAGCCCTAGGTTAGCCACCCAAGAGAAGCTTACTGGGCACCACAACCCTTACCCCCTATCACCTCCCTGGCGCCGGCTGCTGTGAGTTGTGCGGCCAGAAGCTGCTAAGCGAGGAGGGTAGGGAGAAAAAGAGGAGGGAATGGGGGTGTGGGGGGTGGGCTGGCTGAGTTTGCGATAAACCGGCAGGAGGAGAGGGGGAGGGAAGGACTCGGGCTCCCGCGGTCCCGGATCCCCGAGGGAGGTGCGATCATTCCCACGCAACGACCCTCTTGCGGTCCTGCTGCCCCCTCCTATCCAGGCCTCCTACCGTCTTCTTCCCAAAGAGGCCGCCCGGGCCCCGCGTCCCGCGCCAGCACTCACCGCAGCCTCTCTCCACATAGTTCTCAGCAGTGGCCGCTCCTGGTCATCTCCAGGGCTGATGGCTGCGGCCGCGACTCTCAGCGCTCACTCGGCCCCATACTCTGGCTAAACCCTTGGCGCCTCCCTCCAAGAGCCAGAGCTCGGCTTGCCGCCCCACTCTGGACAGCCACTGCCCGGTCCTCTGAGCGCGCCCGAGAGCCCTCTCCGCAGCCCAGGCTCCGGGGCGGTGTGCGTGAGGGCGAGTGTGTGTGTGAGTGAGTGTGGGAGCGTGCGCGCGCGTGTGGCCGGGGATCCCCGAGGTCCCTGGCCGAGAGAGGCGCGGGCGGGGGAACGCAGCTCCCTCCGGCCCTTCGCTGCGGGGCCAGCTCGGCGCCGGGCGTTCAGCTCCCCACTTCCCGGCGGGAGTCCAGAGAGCGCCTGGCCACCCTGGTGCACTGGCAAAGCCGGGCTCCCGGGACGTGCTTCTGCTGCAGTCGCCTCGAAGGAAGAGGAGGAGGAAGGCAGGGGCGCCCCCACGCCAAGTTAGGGACTTATTCTCAGTCGGCGAGACGCAGCAGCCCCCGCGAAAGCCTTAGAGGCTTGGATCTCCAGCGGGCGAAAGCGGCTCCCTTCCGCAGCCGCCCTCCCCGGAGGCAGGCCGAGGCAAACCCCGTAGTCCCTCCGCGCCGCCACCCGCTCCCGGAGCGCACGGCGGCGACAAGGCCAGGATAGGTGGCTGGCTGGCAGCGGGGGCGCCTGCGGCGGCGGCGCGCCGCTGTCCGTGGTTCTGGAACCACGCTCTCCGCCCGCTCCCGAGCGTCTGGTACCGCTGAAGAATCAGTTATTCAGATCTCCGCTGCCGCTTCCTCCTCCCCCAGTGCCTTGCGCTGGGTACAGCAATCCCCCCTCCACGCACCGGCGCGCCGACACACACACACACACACACACCCCCCACAGAATCTGCTCCAGTGCGTCTCCCTGTGCCTAGCCACCCCCTTACGGGAACCCACTCCTCTGATCTCAGGGAGCCGGAGTCCTAAAAGGAAAAACATCTCTACATCTCCCACTTGCTTCCTTTTTGTTTTCTAAGTTCTACCAAACAAAAGTCGCCTTGAGGCTGCCACTTCTAAGCTACCAGCAGGGGTGAGCCAGAGAGCATAGGACTGCCTGGGTGTGCGGGGCCTGGCTGGCTTGAATTCTGGCAACTGGGCATAAAAACAGAGTCAAGTGAGGACCTTTACATTCCACTGTATCTCTCCTTTCAACGCCCGTCTCTGCTTTTCTCGCCTCAGGCCCTGGAAGGAAAGAGGCCTTAAATTGTAAGAGGTTTTGCAATCACTGTTCTAACCCTGTATCCTCCACTTAACAGCTTGATGTTAGCTTTGGGCCTGTTATTTATCTTCCCTTATCAATTGCTAATCTGGAAAATGGGGAAGATAGTAAAAAATATCTACTTCTCAGGGTTATTTTGAAAAGAAAATGAGATCGTCTTGGTAAAGGAGCCAACAGGCTCCTTTATTGAGCACACAGTAGATGCTCAATAAACATAAGTCCATACGAGGTGGCCTAGGAGGGATGGGATTCCCAGGAATGCAGAGGTGGCTACTGAACTGGAGACAGGACAGGGGCACAGTTCCCAAGACCTATGGGTTTATTATTAAGCTTGTTGTTATGTTGAGTTCTCTAAAGTTTTATTATCCAAAAGTCAGAGAAAGGATGGGAGACATTCTGGAAGGTAAATGAAAATGGGAGTTTGTGATATAAGGCAGAGACTAGGGAAGTGTTCCATTTCTTGAGGCTGTAACTGGGCTGAGCTGGGTTAGACCCTTCCCTAGCTTGGAGACAGTCATTTCTCTAACTTTGGCACAGGTACAGGACCCTAATTTGGGGACTAATATGGAAGTTATACTGTTATATTCAAATGAGGTATAAATTATACACAATAAAATGCACATCTCTTAAGGATTCAGTTCAAGTTTTGAAATTGTATGCATCTGTGTAGACCAACACCTAAAACCAGATATAGAATATTTTCATCCCCCGCTAGAAAGTGCCCCTGTGCCCTTCTGTTGTTATCTCACTTCCCTCCAGTAGAAACCACAATTTTGATCTCTATCACCATATACTAGCTATGCTTATTCTCGATCTTTATATAAATGGAATTCTACATTGCATATATTTTGGTAACTGGCTTTTTTCACTTAACCTAATGTCTGGGAGATTCATCCATGTTGCTGCATGTAACAACAGGTTTTTCTTTTTTATTGCTGGATAGCTTTCCATTGTAGGAATAAACCACACTTTGTGTGTCCAATCTTCTATTGATGGACGTGTGGGTTGTATCTGTGGAGCTTTTTAAAATACAGATGCCTGCACCCACTTTAGATCTTTCCCATCCAAATCTCCAGGGGTGGCGCCAAGTATGTTTAAATTCCATAGATGATCCTGATGATGCTCAGGTTAAAAACCATTGTACTTTCCATTCTTGTATATCAATGTTGACCCTGCAATAGTCTTTGATGCAAATTATTGGTATGGAGAGTTTGAAGTTATTTATGACTAGACTTGTACAAAGGTAGATCAAACAGGTGTGGCCTCTTATGAATAGAGAAAGAAGATAGCCTTTCATTCAAAGGAAGAGTCTGTCTCTGAAGACAGACACAGGCAGCTGGAGTTGCCCCAGGCTGGACACCTCCCCAGTGTGGAGAACCATTTAGGGTCAGGCACCTAGAACTCTCCTGCACATGTGGAGATTGTAACAGTGCATATGTGATCATGACAGCCATGCTGTGCTGCAAAGCTAAACCTACTACCCACAGTAGAATGCTGAGCAGGATTTTGCTGAGCAAAACTTTCAGATGGAAAACCTCCTAGCAGCTATTCTGACAAAAACTGTGCCCCCCCCAAAAAAAAAGCCCCCTAGTCAACACTATTCTGCTGTCAATTTTGCCAGTTGGTTTTATCTCCAGTCACATCATGGAAGTAACTGAAATAATCTAGTCTGGTCTTAAGGAACAATTTGTTTCAGTTGTTTTCAATTTGATTGATTTATCTTCAAGTGTTCTGCTGAAGAAATGACCCCCATGGTTGCCACTTGCTTTGAGCCATGCAAACGCTGTGGTTAAAAACCAACCACCTTATCATGTCTTTAGGAGAGAACTAAAATGAGCCAATCGTTGATTATGCTTCTCTTTAAATCTCTATCCGCAAAGGAGATCGGTAAAGAATTCTAGCTCTTTGAAGCTGAAAGGCCTTTAGACACTATCCTGTATGATAAATTTTCTGTTTTCAAGTAAGTTTGGTGAACTCTGTCTACCTGAGTCACTTTAAGGTAAATTCTTATATTAAAGGATCTGAGAAGTCCTGCAGTTAAAAAAAAAGTTTTTATTAATCCAGAAATATTCCAGATGAAATTGATCATGGAAACCTATTTTATTCCACATAATAGCTGCAACCATCCTGCAGAACTATTGTTTCTTTGAATGCTTTTCAAGAATTCTTTACCTAGTCCAACACCTTTATTTTTCATATGGGGAAAGTGAGACCCAAATGGAACTAATCAACTTTAGGACTATGAGACAAGAGGCTAAAGGCAAAATTTGGAGCAGGGTCCAGAATTTTTACTTTAAGCATCTGCCGTGTAAAATAAAGTGTGTTTGCATTCTACAAGGTTATTGGGATTCCAAAGCGGTATGATAGAATCCTGAGAGAGAAGGATAGAGCAGAAAAGTAATTTAGGGTCACTGAGTAACCTGTACACCAGACTAGCCACCCCCTTTAGGCACTGTTTTGTCACTGGTGACCTACCCTCACCATCCCTCCAAATTCCAGCCTGTGGGTTCCTATTCTGTCTTAACCGTGGTCCCAGCCTTCTTGAGCCTGTCTTTACGTGTTAGCAGATAAACAGTACTCACCTGTCCTGTACCGAGGCAGACATCACTAATCAATTCTCGAACCATTTCTCTCAAAGTTTAGGGGGCCTCACAAGCCTGCTCAGTTCTAGGTAGCCCCATCCATTGGTTAGAGTTAACTCCAGTTTTCCATTCCCAACTTAGCAAGTTCTCATAGACTCCTGATTTAGCAAAACCTGACTCTGATTGCCTATATTTCCTTTACTTTCTCTCAGATCATAATTTCCGTGTTACCAGATGACCTTAAGGATTTCTCTTCTTTAGACCTCAGTTTCCCCATTTGTAAAAGAAAGGTTTAGACTAGCCAGGATGACCTCAAAGCTGCCTTCCATGTTTAATGTTCTGATTCTGTGGCTTTTCTTGAAGGTCTTGACCCTGGGATCAACCAAGGTACTAGTTAACCCTTCCATAATATCTTATCCAAAAGACTTAAAAATCCCTTCCTGCTCCAGTGACCCATCCAGGTATCAATAGTTCTAATCAAAGGGCAAGGCTTTTTCTAGACAAATCCACTGCTAGTCTTGGGAACTAAAATGAAGACAGCAGCAAAAGATTTCTTTTCTCATTGGTCTTTACCAATGCAAACCAATGTCTTCCCTTATATCAGACAGGAGCTTAGGAGGCACCAAAGCATACTGTTGAGAAAAGAATAGTAGTGAATTGGGAGTCAGGAGTCCTACATTCTACCACTTTGGGAAAATTCATTAACCTCTCCAGGCCTCAGTTTCTTCATCACTAAAATGGGGGTAAAATCACCCTGCCTCCCCCAGCACTGTAGTGAAGAGTGTGTGAGGATATGTCTTAGTGTGGGTCCCTCCAAGAGCAGTTAGGGTTCTGCACCCAATTCCAATGGTAGGGAGGGTTCCCCACACCAAATGCAATTCTCAGACACCAGCTGGGTGTCCTGCAATTCAACTCAACTCTGACACTATCTACCCAGAGACAGCATCTGACTCCACAGGTTAAGGGCACAGTCCCACAAGACTGCGCTCCACTGCATATGCCAATCGCAAGTCCAGTTTGTTACCTGTGCTTCTGAACAACTGGCTATAAATCGGAGGTTCCCACGACCCCCTCTTGGATTCAATTAATTTTCTAGAGTAGCTTACAGAACACAGAAAACCAGTTTACTGACTAGATTATCAGTTTATTATAACAGATATTAAAGGATACAAATCAACAGCCAGACGAGAGATGCACAGGGCAAGGTATGGGGAAAGGGCACGGAGTTTCCATGCTCTCTCCAGGCACACCACTCTCCCTGCATCTCCATGTGTTCACCATCCTGGAAGCTCTCCAAACTCTGTCCTTTGGGGTTTTTACGGAGACTTCATTACATAGGCAGATTGATTAAATCATAGGCCACTGGTGATTGAACTCAATCCCCAGCCCTTCTCCCCTCCGCAGAGGTGGGGAAAGAGGGGCTGAAGTTCCAAACCTCTAATCACATGGTTGGCTCCACTGGCAGGAAACCAGCCCCCATCCTTAGGTACTTTCTAACAGTCACCTCATTAACATAACAAAAGACACCTTTATGCTCTCATCAGGAAATTCCAGGGGTTTTAGGAGCTCTGTGCCAGAAACAGGATGAAGACCAAATATATAGTTCTTATTATAAATCATAATATCACAAGCAGACCCTGAGATCAGCATCTGAGAACCTTGGTTTATTTGGACGTCATCC